TGTGTGTGTGTGTGTGTGTGTGTGTGTGTGTGTGTGTGTGTGTGTGTGTGTGTTGTGTGTGGAGGGGGGGGGAGGTCTTCGTGCTTGTACTATTAAAACAAACGTGGATTCTCATAATATCTTTTTTTGCATAACATGTCTTAAAGTTGTATATTGTATTCAAAGCAATGCATAATGCGTCATGCGATATTATCTTCTATTGAACATAATGGAAAGAACAAAGATAAACAAAAATGAAAAACAGGAGGCGACAAGAACAGCACATAGTAAAGGGGAGTAACCCGAGCAAAAGGACCAACCTATCCTCTCTAAACAATTTTCTCGATTGAGTCCCTTGTTTCGTGCAAATGTTTACCATTGTAACATAGCATTTACATTGGATGGCACAAACCCCCGCTCAACGGCAAGCTGTGAGAAGCTTTAGTCTATATTAGTATTACCCCACCCAACCCTACAGCACTCAGACACCTTCTCAGCTTCCTGGGAATAAAAGCAGCCGATCAAACGCTCAAATGCAAAACAGCCATTTATTATTGTTTTAAAAAGCATTGTGGGATAAAGAATTAATCAACAAGGGTTTCTACAGGGCGAAGACATCACCCAACATTTAAAGCATGCAATAGAAAGACAATACTTAAATCAGTATTCTTGTGCAAATGAACTATAAGAACTACATTTGTTGCGTGTGATGGTAAGAAAATACTGCAACTACTTTTCTTGTGCAAAAGGACTCGGTACATGTAACAATCATTTTATATTAATATGATGCTATAGAAAGACATACTACGATTAGTATTCTTGTGAAAAATGATATCAGTATTACATTAACATTTTTTTTCCTAACTCGTATACTTGTCATTTAGACCAGTGGTTTTCAAAGTGGGCGCTACCGCCCCCAGGGGGGCGGTGGCGACAGTTTGGGGGGCGCTGTGACGAAATTGGGCGATTGGGGGGCGGTGGTGAGCGTTAAGGAGGCGGTGTGAAATTTTCATGAAATGCAACATAAAAAATGGCGAAGGGAAAGAAGCCACATCAAAAAAAAAAAATTTTAATTGATAACTTAGCCATAGTTTACAATACCACTTATTACTAAGAACTTTCTTTCCCAGCACTCAAAGCCCATATAAAGAAGATTCATCATGAAAAATTTGACAAAGATCTGGCATACTTCAAAACTCTAAAGATCAATTTTCAGAAAAGAAAATCAGTTAAACCGATGTTTGCAGCCAACGTCGATCAAGCTGATGTAGGTTTACGAGCAACATAAAATTTATCTCAGCTAGTTACAAAGGCAGGCAAACACCATGCTATCGGTGAGGATCTCATGCCTGCGATAAGAGAGGTGGTCAGCACAGTCCTGCACCGTGCCATGGAGCCTGTGTTGAAAGTCCTCCCACTAAGTGACAATACCATTCAAAGACGTACTGATGGGATGTCAGCAGATGTAGAGGAATCACTGTGCAAAATGCTGAAAGGACGTGAGCTCAGCCTTTAACTGGATATCAGTTCATTGGGGGTAAGGAAATAATGCAAGAATTGTTATTTGCGAAAATATTGGAAACAGATACCAAAGGCGAGTCCATTTTCAAAGTGGTCCAAGAATTTTTAGAGGAGAAACAGATCCCTCTGACCAATACAGTTGCCTGTGCAACAGATGGGGCACCGTCGATGGCAGGTCGGTACAATGGATTTATGAACTTCTTGAAAAAATAAGTCCCTGGAGTACTTACTGTTCACTGTGTCTTTCACAGACAAAATTTGGTGGCAAAAAAAACCTGAATGAAAGTCTGCATGACACACTAGCCAGTGTCATCAAGTGTGTGAACAAGATCAAAGTCCACGCTTTGAACTCGAGACTATTTCAACAGCTGTGCACTGAAAATGACGAGAACCTTCAATTCTTTCTTTTGCACACTGAAGTCCGGTGGCTCTCAAAAGGAAACTGT